ATCCTATGTATTTTATTTAATGCACTTAGAAACATAATGCTAATGAGGTCTCTGGGCTTTACCAGACTGCCCAAGGAGAGTCAGCCATGACATCAAAAAGGTAAAAAGCTCAGCTTAGATCAACTAGAGAAAATCAAGCTTGAGTTTGTCTAAACACAAATGAAAATGTTTAGAAGGAGAGTTATTTTAATTTTGGTTATGAAATAATTTCCTCATGTGGTAGTCGATTGTAAATTTTTCTTATATAAATTAAAAATTAAATATATTGAGTATTAAACACTGAAGGAGTTCTGAAGACACAGAATAGAGTCTAGGAGGGAAACTGGAATTTCTTAATCTAGAAAAGCACAAGATAAATGGATGATTGTAAGCACATGAAGTATTTGGACCTTCTCTAGCTTTGCTATAACTTTCTTAAGGCGTGAAAGTCAAAAGCATAGAGTACGATAAGCATGGATGCAGCGTGGTTTCATGTAAGGGAAGGGTGATTATTTCTTGGGTTTACAATACTATTCATGATGATACTGTGGACTTAATTGGTCTTTTTGGCCATACATCCTCTTTTTCCTGGGTCACAAATGATAGGCACCAAGCCCATCATCCCATGGACTCTTTTTTCCTAAGTATACCGCCCTCATATCCATTTATGCTCAGTCTGCTCTACCATTTTTCTTCCTATCCCCACAATCCCTAAAATATCACCTACAAACTTGGAAAATTCTATAGTGAACTCCTTTTCAAAAGCTTATCCAAACTGAATTCAGGAGACTTTCATGTTTACTTATGACCACTTAGCTCTGCTACTTTATCATCTTAGGGGCCAACTGTCCCAGCAAGAGTATGGCAGTAATATTTCCTCCTCCGTGGGCTAGTTCACTTGGGTCACATAATCCTAGTCACTGACAAGACAGCGCAGTCTGACAATGTGGTAAAGCCCCAAATTAAAGGGGTCATAAGGTTTCCTTTATAAGAGAGAGCCTATACTCAAATACTTCAAGAGCTATATGCTCTGAAAAAACTTCAAGGTGTCCTGTATTTTAAAAAAATTATTGTAAGACCTTTTAAGGATCAGACATCATTGGAATTCTCTTTTTCAAAAAAGACATGACTTCTAATTCCTTCCTGTCTGCTTCCCATAATAAGCAATCCAAACAATCTACTGTTAGGCTGAAGGTATGATTATCACATGCTGACTACTGAGCAAATTAGTTACTGAGAAGTTGCCTTTTTCTAAAAGATGAACAGCAAGTGTCTTGTTGGAATAAATCCCACAGTGATTATTTGTTGTGAAGCTTTGGGGGTAAATGAAGACTGAAAAATCTCCTTGTTGCTTCATTCAGAGATCTTCTATTAATCTCTATGGTTTGTATTTTTAATCTAGTTGTTTTAAAGCATATTACATACTTCATTGCATGAAAAGCTCTACTCTAAGGGCTATTAAGAGGGCATTTTGCTGAAGAACTTTCCAGCTGGAGAACAAAATGGTTTGAAATGAAAAGAAGACAGTGATCATCCATGGATTTCATCCCAAGGAAGAAGACACACTAGGCTTCATGTAACTTTTATAAGTTAGCCACGAAATTGTCTAGAGCCCTCAGGCCAAAACACACACACACAAACTATTCCCCATGATGATTTTGGGGATCCATGCTCAATGCAAAACTTGAGAAAATTAAAATCTAGGGAAATAAGGGCTTGGAAAAGAGACCTGAAGAAAACAGAAAAGAAGAACCATAGACCTGATCAAACAACAAAAATGCCAAACTTTATTATTTTGTCATTATCATGTTAAACGCAAAAGTGGATTGTCAGATATAAACCATTCTATTCAAAATTCATTGCAGGCACATTTTCCTGGCAAACAGTGAATGTATAACAGACTCTTAGATTGTAAACTCCTTGACAGCAAGAGCTATACCTCAACATCTCTCTATCCCCAGCAGAGAAAGTGTTTTGTAGATCGAAGGCACTGAATGATTATTCAATCTAAATGAATCCTAACCATATGACAAAACAATCCTCCTAATTCCAAGTCAATGTACTTTTTCACAGAAATTAGTCATCTTTTCTGGAGGATTTAGATGAGAGCTCAGAGAGCAACCAATTTTTTAATCATGGCAATGGACCTGTGTTTTCGAGGGTATAGAGAACTCCCAAGAGGAGAAAGTCCCTCTATTAATGCAAGTCAGCACACTGTTTGCATCTTGGACTCTGAAAGGTGATATGCTTTGCCCAGGGAACTATAGTCAGTCTGTGTCAGAGAAGAGACTTGAATCCAGGTCTTTCTGGCTTCAAGGCCAGTTCTCTCTTCAATAGGCCATGCTACCTGAGTTAAAGAAGCAGGATTCAAATCCCTAGTTCCACTACTTACTTACTATGTGACCTTGGCCAAATCACAGTATTTCTCTCACCCAGAGTTTCTTGATTAGTAAAATGAGGGCAATGAGCTCTAAGGTCCCTTCCAGATCTACAGCTATGACACCATGATTATAATTAGCTCTTTAAATGCATTCCTCACAATAACTTTCCAAGCTTTCTATTCTTTCTTCAAGCGTCCCACACACCACACCCTCAACAGCAGGCCTTACCTCATTTTTTGAGAAAATAGGAGACCATGTACCCTGAATTCCTTTTTCTCCTCTACTCAACTTCTCAAAATCCTTTGACACCATCCCCCATTCTCTGCTTTTACTTCTGTCTCTGAAGAAGAAGTGGCCCCTTTCTTCACCAAAGCTGATGCCTCTACTCGCACCCTTGATCCCACGCTTATGCCACTCTTGAATTTTCAGCCTGTATCTGCTGGGTCCTTCCCTAATGCCTACAAGGATGCCCACGATACTCTCACCCTTAAAAAGCCCTCACTTAAGTCCACCATTCTTTCAGTCTACTGTTCTGTACTTGACCATGCTGTCCCTTCAGGCTACTGTTTCATATTTCTCTTTTTCACAGCCAAGCTCTGTACATGCTTGTCCCCCCTTCCTTTCCTCTCATTCACTTCTCAAACTCTTGAAATCTGGCTTCTGGCCTCACTCCACAAACTAAAGTTACCAATCATCTCATAACTGACAAATCCAATGGGTTCTTCCTAGTCCTCATCCTTCTTAACTTCCAAAGCATGAGACACTTAGGACCACCCTTTTTTCCTGCATGCTCTCTCCCCACTCTGGGTTTTTGGGACACGGCTCTCTTTTGGTTCTCTCTTCCTCCCTGCCTGGCTACTCCTCCACACTCTTGGTGGGATCATCATCATCCACGTATGTCATTATCCCTAATTATGGATATGCCTCCAGATTTTCATGGGCCTTCTTTTGTTCTCTCTTTATATTCTTTTCTCAGTGATCTCATCACCTCCCTTGGGTTCAGTCTTCTCTATGCATATGATTCCTATACTCTGCCTTAGTCATTCTACTGACCTCGGTTCCCATATCACCAATTGCATATTGGATATGTCCCACTGGAATTCCCATAAGCATTTCAAACTCATAGCCAAAACAGAACTTCTTATCTTTGTCCCCAAAAACCATATAGCTCTTCCAAATTTCCCTGTTAAAGGTGAAGGTATCATCATGCTTCCAGTCATCCAGGTCTACAATCAGAATCATCCTCAATTCTTCCTTCTTGATCACTCTCCCTCTACCATATCCAAGTCTCGTTGATTTTCTCTCCAAGATATTTCTCAGAGGTATCCCCTCTCCTCCAATCACACGGCCACTGCCCTAGTTCAAGTCCTTACCCCTTTTATCCTTGACTTGCTGCAATAATCTCCCAATTACTCTCCCTGCTTCAACCAGTCTTCCATTTGAATCTGTATTCCATGTAGCTGCCAAAGTGACATTCCAAAAGTATAAATCAGACCACATGACTCCCTTCTCAAAAAACTGATGGAACCCTGACTTAAAAGATAAAATATAAGCACCTTTCTTCAGGATTTGTAATCCTTCACAAGCTAGTTACAACCCCCATGGTCCAAACTGGACTAACTTGCTGTTTCTTTTTTTCTTTTTAATTTTTTCTTTTCTTTTCTTTTTAAAATTTTTTAAAATTTTAATTTATTTTATTTTTTGCTGTTTCTTGTATACAACATTCTATCTCTCACATCTGCGCCTTTGTACTGGCTGTCTGTCATGTCTGGGATCTCTGCCTTGTCAAAACCCTAGCTTCCTCAAAAGCTCAGCTCAAAGTTGTTGTTCACTCATTTCAGTTATGTCTGATCCTTCATGACCCCACCTGAGGTTTTCTTGGCAAAGATCCTGGAGTGGTTTGCCACTTCCTTCTCCAGTTCATTTTAACAGATGAGGAATTGAGGCAAACAGAGTTAAGTGACTTGCCCAAGGTCACATAGCTTGTAAGTGTCTGAGGCCAGATTTGAGCTCAGGAAGATGAGTCTTCCTGACTCTAGGTCTGGCATTCTATCTACTGCACCACCTAGTTGCCCCAGCTCAAGTGCCATATATTTTTTTTAATTTTTAGGCAGTTGGGGTTAAGTGACTTGCCCAGGGTCACCCAGCTAGTAAGTGTCAAGTGTTTGGTCTGAGGTCGCATTTGAACTCAGGTCCTCCTGACTTCAGGGCTGCTGCTCTATCCACTGCTCCATCTAGCTGCCCCTGAAGTGCCACATTTTAAATGAGGTTTTCCTGAGCTCCCCAAATTACTTTTCCCCAAAACACAAATATGCAGTTTGTATTTACATAATCATGTACATGCTTTCCCTGTTAGAATGCAAACTCGAGGCTATCAGGTACTACTTGTTTTGATCTTTATACCTCCACTTCCTAACATAATGTCTGGCACTAGATAGCAGGCACCTGATAAATGCTTGTTGGTTGACTGATTTTATAATCTTCTGGTTTAACTATCAGATGCCCTAGAACTAGGACCCTCAAAATAGCTACTATCTTTGTTTTCTGTATCCTGTAATAAATTTAAAGTTATATATCATTTAAATCTTCTAATGACTAAAATAAACAGATTTTTCAATTAGGGTTAATGATTTAACTTACTTTTGTAAGATGATGCTCAGAGGAGAATCCCAAACCATAGACAGTATTTGCCCTACTGTCTGCCCACTGGCCAAACTTCTGAGATGTTTTAGTGAATGTCATGTTTGGGGTGATGGTGCTATTTATTATTGCCTGAAAAAGAAAACAAAATCATCTGAATATCAAGTCAAACTTTGAACACAGTTAGCACAAGGCATTTTAATGACTGACTACTACTTCCTTCCCCATCAAATATTTCAACTGAACATTTTTGAAACAGGACAATTTTAAAGTGTCTCACCTCCTCCTTTACCCTCTGAAGGTTTGACCTGGCAAAGTAAAATAACTAAAACGAGATTAAATTTTTAAAAGCAAGAGGAAAAAGTAAGTGTGAGGGTTATGAACAAAACCAGATATTGTGTTCTTTGTCCTACATACACAAAATGATGCTATTCACCCACCATTAGTAGGACATGCACTCAGAGAGCTTTCCAGAGTGGTGACTAGCTCCAACAAGCTATGTACACACTCTCACCCATTCTTCCTGTATCCAAGTGTATGCATTTTTAAGACAGCTGCTGGGGTTAAGGGTAAAAGTCTGTGGGAGTATTTCTTTGGGAAGATAACTGGACCATATGGAGGATCAAACCCACAAGCTCATTAGCATCATAATCCAAAGAACTGAGCTAATTGAACCAGAATAAGGATGAAAGAAATCTCTAAATATTTCATTTAATGTATTTTCCTGTATTTATTTTTTGAAAAAAAGAAATATACCTTCATTTTCCAGAATGTATTATAAAAAAAATTTTATTCCAACAAAAAGCTCTATAATTTCTGCTTAGCAATGTGGTTTTATAGAAAACACACATTCTTATGACAACCAGTCTGCTGTATGTTAACTGAGTGATAACGTATAGGAACCAAGATTAATGTAACTATATAAGTCCAATGTAAGGGACCTTATTCAAGTCCTGTACGTATATAGAATTCAACTCTTTTCAGTCAACTCTCTAATATCCATCAAAATCTAGGTTGAATTGGTAAACTATAATAATAGGAAAAATCAGAAGTGTGCTACTAAGTGTTTAATAACCAGCTTTCTGAGGGAAAAAAATGCACACATGGCATACTTTTAAGATTAATCTGCATTGATGATTTCAGAAAAAACCTGGAAAGACTTACATGAACTGAGGCAGAGTGACGTGGGCAGAACCAGGAGAACATTGTACACAGTAACAGCAATATTGTACGATGACTTAGCTATTCTCAGCAATACAAGGATCCAAAGGACTCATGATGAAAAATGCTATCCACCTTCAGAGAAAGAACTGATGGAGTCTGAATGCAGATAGAAGCATACTATTTTCACTTTATTTTTTGGAGGGGGGTGGGTTTCAAGTTTTCTTCCACAAAATATGACTAATATGGAAATATATTTTACATAATTGCATATACATAACCTATATCAGATCACTTACCTTCTCAGCAAGGGAGGAGGGGTAGGGGGAAAGGTGAGAATTTGGAATGCAAAATCTTAAAAAATGAAAGTTGAAAGTTGTTTTTACATGTAATTGGGGAAAACACAATTAAAAAAGACTAATCTGCATTATTAACATTTTCTCCATCATCAACAAAATAATAACTCTAGCCCTGATCTGTAGTGTTTGCCAATTTCTGAGATATAAACGTTTATAATCTTGCAGAAGATGACTACAGCACTCCTCTGACACAGGGACGATCTCCATTTGGCTATGAAGGGGTAAGAATTCGGAGAGTTCCACTAAAGAACAAAGGGTGTATTTATGTAGCTATATACGTGTATGCATCCATACATAATACTACAGAGTAAAACGCCTTCTGTCAGTTATATGGGTACTAGTAAAGTACACTTAGTAAAGTATACAATGATACTTAATAAATGCTTGTTGACTTCACATATAGAGAGAGTATCCTAGATAACCAAGAATGACTATCTTCTCATTCTTTAGGTAAGAGAAACCTAGCGAACAACATTAAAACATTTAGACATATTTTAAAAAACAAGAATTTAAGAGATCAGAGATTTCAGCATAGATGGAAAATATAAAAACTTTTAAATATTTAATATTTAAAAGTTCAATTTTTTTCAATTTGCGTATTACCTGTATATTTAATTAAATGCATCTCAAATACAAACTTTATTAAGAAAATGATGGTTTATTCCAAACTTCATCTTGTTTGTAGGGCCTTAATTTTCTAGTTTGTATAATAACAGAAATAAAGGTCATCTCATCCAACTCCTTCATGTTACAGATGAAAACTGATGAACCAAGAAAGTGAAATGACTTAGAGAAGGTCACACAGCTAACTAGGGAATGAGTCCAGACTAGACCCTCCCAGCACAAGGAGGTTCTATGATACCAGGTAACCCCATGAACCTAACTTAGATACTCACCTTCTTCTATAATTTAAAGTCTTATTTTGAGCTCTCAACTAAAAATCTCTCTTCATTAAGATTCAACACACATTTTAACTTCCCTATTTTTATTTTATTTTATTTTTTTGCTAGGCAATGGGGTTAAGTGACTTGCCCAGAGTCACACAGCTAGTAAGTGTTATGTGTCTGAGGCCAGATTTGAACTCAGGTCCTCCTGAATCCAGGGCCGGTGCTCTATCCACTGCGCCACCTAGCTGCCCCCATTTTAACTTCCCTAAAGAAAACAAGGAATCTTATAATAGTATCACTTAGGTCAGCCTTATTTTAACTAGAGCTCCAAAAAGCTTCACCAGTAAATGCAGAGAAGTGAGAAGGATCATTTACCATCAGCGAATAGGTTAAGTTAAGAGATGAACAGCATGAAACACATCAGTGGGAGAGCCAGGAAAGCTTCAGATTTTGCTGTAGTCCAGGGACAGCAGAACACTTGTTTCTGAAATGTACAGACGTGGAATCTGTACTCTTGAGATACTGAACTTAGGGTAGATTATACAAATTGAAGAATTATAAAAACAAATCATATTTTCAGGTCACTGGATAGTGGAGAGAGTTCTAGACTCAAACTCAGGAAGATTCAAGTCTGTCCTTTGACACACACTGGCTTTAGAATTAATGACCCTGAATAAGTCACTTAAATCCCATTCTTCCAGGCAACTTTCCAAGATTATCAGTTGCAAAATCACACTGGTAGGAAGAAATTTCCTCATCTGAAGTTCCCTTCCAACAACAAAACCACTGGTCTAAAATGAATAAAAGGGTATTGTCACTGACTTTGCCTTAAGTAAGCCCTTTGACATAAACAGGGTCTTTGTTTATTCTAGCCTGTGGTAACAAGGAAAAAGTCTTTTAAACCAAAACATTTAATTACTTTTTTCAACCCTAGGGAAGTTATGAATCACCCATCTTATGTTCCTTTGGGCTGATGCATTGTATCTGTACGGGAAAATTATGGTCTATCCTCAGCAATGGCTTAGAGAACTGGAAAGAGTTCCAAGCAAATGGAAGTAGAATAAGAAATCTGGAAAGCTTTTCAATGCTTCCTTCATACTCTGGATTTGTTATTTGATTTGAAATACTCAGAGGGAACCTCAGAGACCAAGTAGTCCAACTTCCTCATTTTACAGTTGAGGAAATTGAGACCAGTGACATTAAATGACTTACTTAAGAGCACATATTCAAGGCAGGATTGGATCCCAGGTCCCCTAATTCCAGAACTAATAAATTTTCTACTGTACCATAATACTTCCCTTTGAACGACCTAAAAATTGAACACTACCATAAGCACATATGTATGAAAAAAGGAAAATGCTTAAGATTTTTAGATCTTTTATGTTGTTATCCTATTCATTTAACATGGGGAAAATGGAAAATAAATAAATGATACGTAGGCCATTCATCTCTCTTCTCTATAGAGACTGATGTCTTTTGTCACTTCTCTTGAAATTCCTTGGCCAAGACCATGTTCCTGATGACTTCAAGCAAATTCACTGTGTAGCGGATGGAGTCTACTTCAACCATTGGTTGACTTCCTTGAGATTTCAAGCATATCTTCAAACATCACTATTTTTGGGTCAAGAGAACTAAAACTATATGTTTTTCTCCTTTTATTTACTATGCAAAGAATCTTACTGACAAAGACTCATTTTGATAGCTCATTCTCAGCTTAGGAATGGCAGGGGGAGGGTCAGAGGTGAGATAAGAGGGATTTAAGTTCTAGAATGAACGTAATCTCCCAAAATACCTTAATGAAACATATTGATGATAAAGAGAGGGGACAGACTGATGTCTCTTGTCACCTCTCACAAAATCCCTTGGCCAAGACTATGGTTCCTCCTTGCAGGAATTAAGATCTGGGAGGGAGTTAAGATCTTTCTTATTCCTTCTCAGGAGAAGAGATGGAATGGAAAGGCACCAGACTGAAAAGCTGAGATATATACCTTTTCATAATTAGTCCTCAACTCAGACCTTGGCTACCTACAGCAGCAGATTTCCAACGGCATACTGCCTGCTTCTGGGACGCTAGACAAAAATATTCTACCCGGCTCTGCTTTGTGTTTTTATCTCTCTTGTCCTTGTTCTTAAGGTTCTTCTAGCAGTCCACTTTCTCAGTGCCTTCTTTTCAAAGGATCACTTATTTAGAGCTAGGGGGAACCTCAGGGGTCATCTAGTCCAAACTCTTCATTTTACAGATGAGAAAACTGAGGTCAGGCTGGATTTTGTCAAAGGCAGGCTTTGAACCAAGGTGCTCCAACTCCCATGCCCTTTCTCTGGTCAACCCAAGTGACTATATTTTAACATCATCATTTCCAGCAATCATCCCTTAATCTACGACCACTCTTTTTGGGTTTGGGGGAGGGGAACTTTTTTTTAAACCACACCAGTTCTCAAGAGTAGAAATGTAATGGGCAGCAATTCTAACAAGAATCAGAGAAGGGACTATAGTGGTTGTAAAGAACTTGAAATTTCAATTCAATTTTCATTTTTGACCTTTTTGTAACCTAGCATATCTCTGACTCATTGACTTTGAGTTTATTTCAACCTTGAAGGAAATTTTGGATGTGCTAATGCTCAATAAATACACTTTTATTGAATTCCTAAATGTCTTCAGATAGTAACATATTATAACTTAAAAACAGACATATACCTTCCCCATTTTTCTATCCAGCTGTTCTTTGCTCTAAACAGCAAATTTAGAAATGCTGTATCATTACAAATAGAAGTATAGTATGCTGATTGTGGCATTTAACCAACCTGATGTTTTCACAACCTTACTAGAAGGCCTTAAAGCCAAGATTAGATTCACAGAGAAGTAAAAGGCGTGTAGTGAGAAGAATCAGATTATGTTTTCGAGGTATGGGCATTCTGAGGAGATTTTCATCACTCAATCAGGTGCTTAACAGAGAAAGTGACAGCTTAAACATTCTTATAAATGAAATAAATTGTGATGTCTGTTAAGAAAAAATGCAGTCATCACTGCAGTATTCTGCAGTAGTTCATAGAACTAGAACATAGAACTAAAATGAGCTTTAATTCACCGTATCCATTTAAGAAACTGACTAAAAGAATGATATATACAACAGAAAAACAGGCAAATCAATTATTAAAGGAAATTTATTTTTTAAAGGATATCAAACCCCCTGTTATCACAAAAAACTACCAAGTTGAATGATTCTAAATAGGAAAAGGTGGCTCAGTGGATAGAATGCCCAGCCTAGGCCTGGAGTCAGGAAGACTCATCTTCCTGAGTTCAAATCTGGTCTCAGACACTTACTAGTTGTGTGACCCTGGACAAGTCACTTAACCCAGTTTGCCTCAGTTTCCTCATCTGTCAAATGAGCTGGAGAAGGAGATGGCAAATCACTCCAGTATCTTTGCCAAGAAAACCCCAAATGAGGTCACAGAGATTCAGACATGACTGAAAAAGATTAAATAACAACAACAAACAGTCAAAAGACAGAAGAAACTCAAGCAGTAGTATCGAACCCTGTTTCCATGTAGCCTCAAGAAGAAAAAGGTGCATATGATGACTGACTCACCAGAACTGCTTTCTAGGTAGGCGTTTCTTGGAAATAAGTCACTGAAGGACTTTTTACTCCTCAGGTGAAAGTCTGGTTAATATGAAGTCTATTCAAAATACTTTCATGTGGTTTCTCTCCTTATACTAGGACTTCTGTTCCCATCAATTTCTTTGTCACCTTTTAACCACCACCTACAAATGTCAAAGCTCCAAAGGACCATTTAGGACAAAAGAGAAACCAGGGTATTGGTGGTGTCATCGTTCAGTCATTTTCATTTGTGTCTGACTCTTTGTGATGCCATTTGGGGTTTTCTTGGCAAAGATACTGGAGTAGTTCACTATTTCCTTCTCCAGCTCATTTGACAGATGAGGAAACTGAGGCAAACAGGGTGAAGTGACTTGGCCAGGGTCACACAGCTAGTAAGTATCAGAGGCTGGATTTGAACTCAGGAAGATGATGAGTCTTCCTAAATCCAGGCCCAGTGCTATGTGCACTGTGAAGCTATATAACTGCCCCAAGAAACCAGGTACATATGCCTACAGAGCTACACTAAGGGACAGAGTCAACCTGTTTTATATTCCAAGTCTTTATGTATTCCACTCAAGTGAACATATGCAGAAAAAAGAACAAGGATAGTGACTTAGTAAAACTTCACAGAAGCTCCAGTAGCTATCTCCAAATCATTTTGCCAATGGCCACGCATTGTTCTAATAAAGAAAAATTAAAGTCAAATCAACGAATAAAAATATTCTCATTAATTATGTTCAAGTCACTGGAAAGCATACAGAGAAGTCTCAAAGATCCTGCTTTTAAGCTTGTAATCTAGTTTAGGTGACAGGGCATTTAACATATAATACAAGAATCAAACAATAAAGACAATCACGAAGAAATGATCAGAAGACAATAAATATGTGATTAGTTGCCAGAAAAGTGATATAAAGGAGGAACATTATGGGGTTAGAAGAGAGAATGGTATAACAGGATTATAGGATTTTAAACTGGAAGACACCTTAGGAAATCACCTGGACCAACTCCTTTATTTAAAAGATTAGGAAACCAAGATTCAGAACAGGTAGTGATTCACCCAAGGTCACACTGGTTAGGATTCCACCCCACCCTTTTTATTGTTAATCCCAGTGTTCTTGGCCACAACACCCCATTACTCTAGGCCAGAATAATCTGGTAAATCTTCACTGAGGAAACACCTAGAGACACCTTCCCACCGATTTTATATAATGTTATACTGCAAATTTGATATTCAGATATATAACACATCTCTAATGTGACTATAACATAAATATAAACTTTAATATTCTCAATGATAGAGAAACTGACCAAAGTTAAATAAGATACTCTGAAATTTTACCTTTATGTTTCAGACACGAAGTGTGCCAAGTATAGTATTAATTATAGGCTCTGGAACAAACCAGGATTCACATAGGCTCTTACATAAACTCAGGAAGCCTATCTGAATTAAACCATCTCAAATCTACTGAATGTTCTGGTATATATCTGTAAGTGTAGTAGGTATACTGATCAAACTAACTTAGTGAAACTTTTTCATTACCTAAAGAATCAGGGATGGTAATATTTTTAAGTATTTTTAATACTTAAAAAATAAATGTTTAATACTATAGCATCAAGAGCAAGACAGAAATATTTGAGAAAAAAAAAAAGAACTAACCTTTGAGCCATCTAAGCTGATTATTCTATACACATTTCTTGTGCTGTCATAGAAGTAGGACACCGTAACTGCATGCTTGCTGGTGGGAACCCAGTTTTTCTTTGTGTTCGGGTCAATCTGGAAGACATGAGCTCGAGTGCTGAAGATGGGTTGTTCCCTGAGGGACAGAAAGTAACAATAATCAATCTGATTAGAAGCAATGGTAAGAAAAAAAACCCCAGGACATAATATGTCTCCAACTTTTAAAAAAATAGTAGTCTGGGGGTTTACTGAAATTTAACATTACACAGACAAAGAATCATCTCAAAGGGAAAAAGTCACCTGTGTAGTCATTGAGAGTATAAGATGATGCAACATATAGACATTTAAAACATTAGTTCTTTTTTAAAAATTAATTTATTTTTAGTTTTCAACATTCACTTCCATAAGCTTTCGATTTTAAATTTTCTCTCCCTCCCTCCCAGTCTCCCTCCTCAAGACGGCATGCAATCTGATATAGGGTCTACATATACATTCATATTAAATATATTTTCACATTAATCAAAAACATTAGTTCTTAAAATACAGCTAAATACATATATACATTATTATAACCTACTTCATCTCCAGGCTTAGAGTGCTGAACTTGGTGTCAGGAAGACCCAAGTTCAAATTCTGCCTCAGACACTTGCTAGTTTTGCAATCCTAGGCAAATCACTTAAACTCTCTTGGCTTCAGTTTCTTTCTCTGTGAAATGGGGATAACTGTAACACCTATCTCACAGGATTGTTGTGAGGATCAAATGAGATAACACATAAGTGCTTTGCCAGTCTTGAAAATACTCTATAAATGTTAGCTGCTTTTATCTACTAACATTCTTGGTGTTAATTGTTAATACACGTTATAATTATCAGTGGATCAAAAGGAACAGAATTCACACATTAAATAGTTTTCTTCAAACTTTAATATTCTGATTTTTAACTTTTAAGTTGTAATCTGAAACAATTATACTAGTTAAATTATGGGTTGGCTAATCCTCAGTGACCAGAATATATGTTTAATTCACTCAAAGCTCTGTCCATGAAAAACCTAAAAAGTAATCAGCACTTCTCAAGCACTAATCATATGCACGATTTATGAGAATCAGAGCATCCATAGCTGGAAGAAATCATGTAATCCCCACACCCTCATTTATAGAAAAGGAAACTGGGGCCTTGAGAAGTCTAGGGACTCCCCTCAAATCACACTGAAAGCTACATCGGGAAGGATTCTTTTAGGTCCATATCCAGAGTTCTTTCCCCCAAACCTGCACTGCCTCAATTAAGTAACATAAATAAAAAGTTTCATTTTCTCAGCAGTGTTCTCAGAACAACAACAACAACAACAACAACAACAACAACAAAAATATCATTCACCTCAGTAGATTAGCAGTGAAGTACGCCTTCCTCCATTTGGCAGAGGTCATAGATTGCAGGTGCAAAATGAGACATATATATCATCAGACATGGCCAAGGTGTTAATTTGTGGGCTTAATTTGTTCCAAATGAAGGTTTGGTTTTAGACGAAAGGGGTGGATGGTGGGGTAGGATGGGAGCAGGTGTCACCAGGAAGTGACGGTGATGTTTAAAAAGAGAACATCAATAAAATACAATTTTTTTAAAAATGTGGAACAAAGCTGCTGAAAGTAATTCACTGGAGATGATGAAGAAGGTGGATCTAAAACTTCTGTCTGTATTCTGACAAATGAAGTTTAGTTTTTGTTAAGTATTGTTTTTAAGATGAACATATACAACTACATTTTTAAAAAATTACAAATTATATTTCAAAAAAGAACTACTGACATATTATAGATTGCCAAATTCTACCATAATCAGATTTAATTTTGTATATTGTAAAAAGGTTTAATTTCCATTGTGGCATACTGCCTTTTATCCAACAAAAATCTGAAATGTTAATTTTTTAAAATCTGAGTCCAACACTTCTTTCTCAAATAACATTTTTATGATATCTTTTTCTACAGTCTAAAATTGTTTTTTTTTAAATTTCCTATGCATAATAGTTTTCCTTTCTAAAAAGCTTAAGGTCTTATGAAGAGAATTTTATATTGGCAATATTTAATGTTTTTTTAAAAATTTATAAATGAATGAAGAAATTAAAGTAGTAGTAGGGGAAGGAAAAAGGAAGGTAACAGTTAAAAGCAGATTAAACAAATTCAATTTCTAAGCAAATGGCTTTCATTTCAGGTCACTGAATGTTCCACAACTCTTTCTTACTTGCTTCAGCCTTCAAAAATGTCACATAAGGATTTTTCATTATGGAAGTAGTAGTGGGGAAGAAGGATAATTTGAGTACTCACTCTGTTCTTCAGTAACAGCCTAGGCTTCTCTCAAACTTTTATTTCTAACAGCTTCAAAAATACTTTTCAGGGCACAGAACCTGTTTCAAAAGGCTGAATTGCCAAATACATACCAGAGAGTAAAGATACCACTTCCCTTTCTCTCTACAATGCAAACTTAATTGCCATTGTGAAGATATAGGTGGTATTTTCTGTCCTTATTTATTTATTTGGTTAGTTAGTTAGTTGTTTGTTTGTTTGTTTGTTTACTGAGAGGAAGTGTAGTATAGCGGATCTAGAGCCTGCTTTAGAATCAGGAAGGTCTGAGTTCAAATTCTGACTCTCACTATACTGGTCATGTGACCAGTTATGTTAATTTTGACCATTATGTTAGTGTTTCCTTTCACTACTTAGATGCCATGTCAGTTGGTACATGCATATACAGATATATAAATGTCTATATATGTATAGATCTATATGAAATATTGATATTTTTTCATTATCTACTATTCTTTTAAGTACAATGTAATTTTTATGGTTATCTCTTTTAGCCATGTCTATTTTTATTATTACCTTGTCTGAAATAATTGCCACCCCAACTTTTTTATCAGTCATAATAAATTTAGCTCCAGCCCTTCATTTTTAACTGTGTGAATCTTTATATTTCAAGTATGTTTCTTATTTTAAAAAAAAGAAGAGAAAGAACATGCTGTTTGATTCTAATTTCTAATTCATCTTGCAACTCTCCTTCATTTTATTGGTGAATTAATTTCATTCATGATCATTATGATTATTTACTATGTTTTTCTTTCTTTATATTTTTTCTTTATCTTTATTTTCCATATTTATATACTTTCTGTATCTTCATCTTTCTTTATCTACTTGTTCTCCTTTCCCCTCCCCCCTCCAAAAAAAATCTCTCTATAAGTTAGTGAATGGTATTCAAGAATTACTGTGGCCAAAACATCTGTCTGATAAGTTTTTCCACATTTAGCTAGACTGGTTGTTGAACAAAAGACACATACAGTCTAGAGAAAATTCATAACTGGTCTGTGAGGCTTAGCAGGACCTGCTTCAGTTGGCATAACCTTTAAAAATTCCATGCCACAGTGAGATATCAGAATAGGGCTTCTGAGGAAAAAATGTTTACGCTGAAATTTCACATTACTCTTTAAAAAGTTTATTTTCCCTTATGACATCTGCCTTCTATAAATAATCTCTAGTCAGACTATTTCAGATCTGTAATACAACTAAATCCAGAGAGTATAAAAAGATGGAAACAAGGATTTATTAAGTGTCTATTATATGCCAGGCACTGTGCTGACCACTTTGCATATATTATCTCATTTGATCCTCATAACAACCTGGATACTCTGATTCTGGAGTAAGTGCTCTTTCTAATGTACCAAGTTGCCTGGAATTCTTCAATTCTAGAGTTTTTTCTATACTGTTTCAGGTCAAAGTTTATCCTAATTGTGAAAGTTAAAACTATCTTATGTAGTCAGACCAAGTAATATCCAATTATAGATACTCAATAAGACTAATCTTAGACATTATTTTCTTTGCTGTCACCATTTACATTTTATGCTAGTTCAATGTTTTAACAACCAACATTAAAACTGAAGTCAAATGAAGTAAAGCTATAAATTCACTAAATTAAACCTTGACCAAATCAGTAGCATGTTTACATTCTTCTTGAGATTAAAAAACACAGAGATACCCAAGAGGGGGGGAAAACTTTCACGCCAAAATACACAACTTACTGAAGTCTGGTCTGTATTATCTACCAAATGTTTGACATGACATAGTCTCAGTACTGAGATGGAAGCTATAACCAATCACAGAATCTCAGAGCTAGAAGGGACCTAAGAAGTCATTTCAATTAATTGTCTGCTCAGCAAGAATCCTCCTAACCACATACCTGCCAAATGCTTATTCAGCCTGTTTGAAGATTTTTTGGTGGAGGATGGGGGTTGGGGGAGGAGGGTTTGGGGGGAAAGGAGACCCACAATATCCACTTTAGGATAATTCCATTTATCAGAAAGTGTTCACCCATTGCTCCTAGTTTTGCCCTTTGGGTTCAAAGACAAGTTCAATCCTTCATGACAATGCTTCAAATACTTTGAGAGAGCTATCATGCCCCAGCTTGGATTTTTCTTCTTCTCTGGGACTAAATAGCCCCAGTTCTTTTTAACCAATCCCCATAGGCCATGAAATCGAATCCCTTCATCATACTTGTAGCCCCACTGTTTGTCAATGCCCTTCCTAAAATTTGGTACCTAGGACTAAATACACTACTCCAGAGGTGTTCTGTCCAGGGTAGAATGAAGCGTAACTATCACAAACATAGTCCTGGGCACCATGACCTCTCAATGCAGCCTAAGAGCACATCAATTTTTTTAGATAATATATTACACTATTAACTCACATTACACCTACAGCCCACCAACATGCCCTGATATTTTTCAGATAATGTGCTGTGCAGTCATATTTCATCCATCTTGTACCTACACTGTTGATTTTTTAATTTAAACTTAAGATTTTATGCTTTGCCTTATTAAATTTCAGTTTTATTAAATTCAGTGGAATCTTCTAACCCATCAAGACTCTTGGATCCTGGCTCTGTGACCTAACATGTTACTTATTCCTTCTAGCTTTGTGCCATTTGAAAATTTGATGAGTGAAATCCACACCTGTACCCAAGTCATTGATGAAAATGTCAGCTGGCCTGTACCCAAGTCATTGATGAAAATGTCATCTATAACACAGGGCCAAGCACAGATCCCAGATTACTAAGTTAATTTTATAATTGTGTAAAAAATTTAGGTTTTATTTTTTAGTTA